GTGTTTAGTAACTGATGAGTAGTGAGATCCTAATTATTGAAAGAAATGCTCATCATCAGGTGCAGATGGAGCAGAATGGCCCCCATGAGCCTGGACATCAGGAAAACTTACTGTGCGCAGATCAGGGAAGTAATGTGTGTTTTCTTCATCATCAACCATACCATAAAAATGAAGAATATCTTCATAAAATGTCACATCTCTAGACATGAAAAATTCATGAGAATTCAGGTCTGAAAGTTTGTACCCTTTAATACCAAATGGATATCCTAGAAAAAGGCATTGCCTAGCTCTAGTCTGAAATTTGGTCCTGCCACTACTCAGAGTAGACGCATAGGCTTTGCGGCCAAAAACTTTCAAGTGAAGAGAAGGAGGTAATTGATAGAGCATTTCACATGGACTTTTATCCTTCAAAATTTGTGGAGGCAGTCTATTAATCAAATGAACTCCATAGAGTATGCACTCACTCCAAATCTACAAAGGAATTCCAGATTGAAACCTTAGTGCTCTTGCCACATTTAAAATGTGTTGGTTCTTTCGTTCAACCCTTCCATTCTGTTCTAGGGTGGCAACACATGAAAATTTGTGTTCTATGAGATGTTCTTGATAAAACTCATTCATATGGAACTCCCTACCCTAGTAACTTCTTATGGTTTTCACAGATTTAGAAAATTGATTCTTCGCCATACACAAAAGTTCTCCAATAGTGACCTAGTTTCTGACTTGTGCTTCCTACGAAAATTCCACACAGCTCATGAGAAATCATCAACCACAATACAGAAATAAGAAAGACCATCATAAGTTTCAATTGTCAAAGGCCCCCATATATCAACATAAATTAAATCGAAAACACTATTAGCTCTGTGCTCACTCAAAGGAAAAGTTAATCTCTTGCGCTTTGAAAATGACAAACATATCATATTTAACTAAAGGATTACAATGCTCTAATAATTGGATCTTCTTTGAGCTGGGATGTCCTAAACCCCAATGCCAAAGGTTGATCTTCTGGGGATGGAAATTGTAGACCGAAACTACTAAATGTGGGATCTGACTCTCCGAATTGGACATTAAATAGTATAGACCCCTACTTTGTTTTTCCAAGACAATCATCTTGTTGGTTACTAGGTGCGGGACAACACAAGAATCAAATTGGAAGGTAAGGGAAACTGGTAATCATGTGTCAATTTCCTAACTAACACAAGGTTAAAAGTAAAACTAGGGGTTAGCTAGACATTCTTTAGTAAGATTCCTGAAGGTAGCCTAACTAATCCAATATGAGTGACTGATACTTTGTTACTGTATGGTAGGAAAACTGACACACCATGAATTGGTTTGCTAGTGGTGAAGAAATTCTTAGAACAAACAATATGATCCATGACACCTGCGTCAAACATATACGAGGTTAAAACATATTTACCAGTTGAATTTGGAAATTATGGCATCTGTTGTGCTACTGAAAAGGCATCATGACATATGTTTGGTGAATGAGGTGGTGATGGGGAAGGAGGAGGAGAAGAAGAAGAAGAAGAAGAAAATGTAGTCACTCTCTAAAGCAAGAACCTAAGTCGATTTATCTCATCGCCAGTCAATTAGAGATTCACCATATTGCCTGAATTGCTGGCACTTCCTCTAGAACTAAAGTTTCCAGTCCCACTGCTAGATTGTGTGTCAACAACACCATCATTTGGTTCATTCACTACTCTAGCAAAGTGAGTTCCAATATTTTGTTCCTTATTTTTCCTTTTCAGATTCCCATAGTCTGCAATGTTGTGATTTGTTTTCTTTCAAATCGGCAAAATAGTCCTGTGTCACTTCCTTGTTTTGGTGCCTGTCTCCAAGCATTGTTATCATTCCCTTGACAGGCCTTTCTTTCATATGAAGCAAGGGCTACTGATTGAGTGTTTCTTCTTTTATAAGACTTCAGCTTTTGCTCATGTTGAAGCAAATCCCATATGGTGCTACAATAGTAGGGAGTGGTTTCATTATCAAGAGCTGAGTCTTGACCACATTATATGTAGGACTTACTCCTCTTAGAAACCTCACAAGGTAGTCTATTTCTTGTTTAGCCTTAAATGCTTCCACTGCTAGACATGGCAAAACCTGTCCTGGGGCACCGGTACATGGAACTATTGGTTTGAACTTTGTATACTCTTCCCATAACCCCTTCATCAATATGTAATACTAAGTTATGGTCGGTTTCCTTGCTTACGTGCATGAATAACATCTTCCAGGTTGGTAAACTTCACATCATTAGCTTGACCAAACCTGTCCCTACAATTCTTCCAACAAATTTTGTGCTACTTCATGGCTTTGAACTTTGCGTTTGATATCCTTATGTAGAGAATAGATAATCCAACAGAGAACAACAATATTGCAAGCATCCCATGCTTTATACTCATTAGGATCTGTTTTGGGACCAAGGATTTGAACAGAACCATCGATAAACCCAAGCTTGTACTTGGTTTTGAGGGCTATGCGAATAGATCCAACCATCGATAATTACTACCATGTAGGAGTTCAGATACTATTGATTGAGAGAGATTCTCATTAGGGTTTTGATAGAAAGGGTTGCCAAACTGGAAATCATGAGAGGGTTGTGTAGATCCTGTGGTTGCTACGCTTATAGTTGAGTTAACAGTTGAACCAGACATGGATTGTTCTTCACCACCACTCACTGTGACTCAAAGCTGCTACTCAGACCTGGGTCAGGCTGAACGAATGGCGTCGTGCTCTGATACCATAAGAGAAGTGGAAGAAGACTCTGGATTTGGGGTGGAGGAGTTGCCTTTTTATGGACAAAAAGGTTATAATACTTGAAAGAGCATATTAAGATTTGGAACCGAGAAGTGTTTGGCAACTTAAATATGATGATTGATGAACTACTTGGAAACATTAAGAACATTGATTACATTGAAGAGTCACGCTCAGTGACCGATGAAGAGATTTTAGACAGGCTCAAATTCAGTTCTGAGTAGATTTTTGCTTCTTCTAGTGATCTCTTGGCGTCAGAATTCTAGATAGCTCTCGCTCAAGAAAGGAGATACCAACACAAGCTTTTCCCACAAATTTTCCAACTATAGATGGAAGTTGATTGCATAAAGATCAATAGGGTGCTCATTGAGGGGGAAAGACGAGCGGTCACAAGGTATTATGGACTATTACATAAACCTCTTCTCATAGTCTATCACTAATCCTCCCTTTCCAAGCAACTACGTTGGTCAGAGACTAAAGAATGATGAAAGCAACTTGTTGGGCTATAATTTCTTCGAGAAGGAGATCTGGTTGAACCTTGTCGAGTGCGATGAGGGTAAAGCCCCAGGCCCTGACGGCTTCACTTGGGAATTCTACAAGAAATGTTGGAGATGGATTAGAGGTGAAACCATCGAGGTTTTCAATGAATTTCTTACAAGAAGTGTCTTCCCAATGTCGGCTACTCACTATTTCATTTGCCTCCTCCTCGAGAAGGATGTAATGGAAGATATGAAGAATCTTAGACCCATCAGTCTTATGGGGAGCACCGATAAGCTTATTAGCATGGTCCTCTGCGGTCAGTTTAGTAGAGTTCTCCCCAGCCTGGTCTCCTTGAACCAGCAAGCCTCCGCGAGAGGAAGACAAATCTCGAAAGGTGGACTTATCGCTTTCGAGCTTCAAAGTTCTTACCAGTTTGGGTTTTCCTCCTAAGTGGAAGGATTGGATTTGTGGTACTATGTGCTCTCTGGTCATCTCCACTCTCATCAATGGTTAAGCTACGGGATATTATGAACCGCAAAAAGGCTTAGCCAGGGTGATCCACTTTCCCCTTCTCCTGGACTTTGCTCTCTTCTAATGGACATCCTTTCGTTTATGATGAGCAAGCTACAGGAAGCAGGTAAAATTAGTGGCTTCTTCATGGATGAGCACAGTGGTAATGGGGAGGTCACTCATATCCTTTTTAGCGACGACACCCTCCTTTTCTGTGACGAGCAAGTTTTGAACATCTTGGCCACTATGGTGTGTTTCCAGGCTGTATCGGGCTTGCGTATTAACCTGGAAAAATCAGTGATTTTCACTATGGGTAGAGGTGGCAATTCTCAATCCAATCTACCAATCCATTAAAAATATTTACCTAATCCAATCCATTTAAATCCAATCCATTTGATCCAAATCCAATCGGATTGGTGAATTCATGGATCAATCCATGGATCCAAATGACAAATTAGGGTTTGTTACCTATACTTTTTATATTTTACATTTTGGTACATAAAATTTGATTTTTATACGAAAAACTTCATTGGAAAATTACATTTTGGTACCTAATTTTTTTTCATTACGACATTTTAGTACCTAAATTTTCACATTTTACATATTGGTCCAAGGTTGAGGATGTCATTTGGATTCATGGATAATCCACCAATCCACTTGATCCAATCCATGAATCCACCGATCTATTTGATCCAATCCATGAATCCACCAATCTATTTGGATCAAATCAATTTGCCACCTCTAGAGCATATGTATCATCCATGCGACATGCTGGCAAATATGGCTTGAAATGAACCAAATAATATTCAGTGAGAGTCCTCTTACTGCGCTCTAATATGTATGGAGAGCATCAAGCGATTGAGTATAAGTTGAGGGCCAAAAGAGAGATAGTACATAATATGCCTCAATTTTAGAAAGTTTAGAATTCTAACGCACGTTATGCATGTAGATGAGTGGTATTCTACTCATTTCTTTGTTTATATGAAAGAAATGAGTAGAGTTTAGTGAATACTGTTGGTTGTCAGTTCTCTCGGAATTATAACGAAGAAATAAAAAGAAAATTATTTGAGTATTAGTATACAAGTGAAAGCCACAAGAGTCTCCCTAGTCCCTACTAAATCCTCGTGTATAGGTGTAGGGTTCAAATTCACCAACCACAGAGAGCTTGGAGGATACCTTGCACCACAAATTGTGGTAGAATCGCAATTCACCAGCCACATAACACGATCGAGAGTACAGAGCATCGAAATAACTAACAAGTACCATCATCAAATAGAGCAAGAAGATCCATTCTACAGAGCTTGGAAGATAACTTGCACCCCGAATTGTGGTCGAATCGTAAAAGCATAAATAGGGGAGTGCACGTACGCCGGTGAGAGGGTGAACGCGTAGCGTTGGAGAATCATGGAAAGGGCAATCTTAGTTAGGATTGGTGCAAAGTTGTAGCCGGCACAGATCCGAGCCCCCATCCCGAAGGGAATGTGCACAGATTGGACGTTGTTTGTTGCTTTGGCAAGCCCTTGAGAGAACCTATCGGGCTTGAAATGGTGCACATCTTCTCCCCAGATTTTAGGGTCATGGTGAAGGGAAAGATACGAGATGATTATATTTGTATTAGCCGGAACACGGAATTTCCCAAGCTGAACTTCCTTATCCACTTTTCGCATCATTTCAAATGCAGGAGGGTACAAGCGTAGAGTCTCGTTTATGATCATGGTCATCTGCAACACAAATGATAATGTCAACCCTCTCGAAAAAAATAAAAACCAACATGTCAAATTACATGTTAGGGGTCGAAGGCTTAAAATAAAGTTAAAAATAAAATAAAATAATAACAGCGTGAAATCAAATTTTGGTACAGTGAGTTAGCAACTCGAATAAAATTAAGGTATTTGTCGTACTAGTTCCTTACTGTTTTGAGCTTCATAATACCATCTGCATCAGGAGTTTTATTGCCGAAATGAGTCATGACTTCTTTTCTTGCTTCCTCTTGCCAATCTGTATGGATCGACAAAAGTAACATTGCCCATGTGAGCAAAATGTCGCATGTTTCGTGCCCAGCAAGGTAGAATGTCTTGCATTCATCAACCACGTTATCCACAGAAATTCTCTTGGATTCATCATCTTCATAACGAGCCTTCACAAGTAATCCTAGGAAATCACTTCCACAACTATCTAAATCTCCATTCGTCACCATCTCCTCGCGTTTTGTGACCATTGCAATGATCACGTCCCGTATCTGTTGCTCAAGTTTCTCTGCTTCAATCTCATCCTTGGGTTTGTAAACCTTGCTGCAAGTTAAACATAGACATTAAGCAAAAATGACAACTAGCTAGCAAATGATTAAAGAGTATGAGTGACCAGAGTCTCTTCTCTAGCTTAATTTCTATTGCTTTCTCCATATAATTTCCTCTCCCGACTTGGATAGGGTACTATAGGGTACAAGTTTAGTACAAAATGCTATATACTACCAACTTTTTCGGGTATGAACTCAGAGTATGGTTTTACATTCCTTACGGAAACGGATTTAAGTCATTAAGCAAAATTAACTTCTACATTGCAAAATCATCTTTATCAAGCGTCCCGAAGATCGAAGTAGCTAGCGAACCAAATTTCAATAACGACCAGAAAGTAACGAAATGAGAGAGAGAGAGAGAGAGAGAGAGAGAGAGAGAGAGAGAGTAAAGAAGTTGACCTCAAGCCGGGAATCTGGATGTTCAAAGCATGTTTAGTTGCGAGTTGGAGCAGCTTGGCTAATCCATCAAAGACGAGTTTCCCTTGAAAGTAACTACTCCCGAAAGCCGTCCTGGAGATAACTTCAGCAGTAAACAAGCTGAATTCTTCAAACACCTCAATCTCTTCCCCTCCATGATCCTCCCACCTCTGGAGCATCACCTCCGTGCTAGCGACCATTGCTGGAACCATGCTCTGTAGTAAAAACACCATCATTTAGCAGAGCCTCTCAAATTGCAGATTCATCCTGTCGTAGCGTACCTTTAGGCTGTCGCCCTGGAAAGCGTGGTTGACCAATTTCCTCATCTTGGCCCACTTTTCTCCTCTCGACGTCACCAGCCCATCTCCAAACAGCTTCTTGATGTAACCCTCTGCCTCCAATTTCTGATACACCTTCTCTGCATTATTCCCCACCACTTTCACCAGCTCTGGCTCTGTCACTACCAGGATGGGCTCAGGCCCCATCCAGAACACGAAATTCTTGCCTGTCCCCAGGATCCACTCATCAACAGCAACAACAAATTAATGGGTACAGAGAATCCGAAAAGGGCTCAGCAAGCTCTTACCGTACGCCTCTGTCCATGTGGCCAGATGAGGCTCCAACCTTGTACGAATTTCGTGGGATAGATTAGACATGGGTTTGGCCGCGGCGGCCGTTTTCATCTTCTGAATCTCTCTGGCGTTTCCGAATAGGAATTTGTACGGTGGGCCTCTGATTCCTCGCGCATTGAACTCTCGTTGACGCAGGATTGGCTTCCTTAGCGTCTTGTTCAGGAATGCGAGCAAACCCAGAACAAGGATTGGGCAGCTGAAGCAGACAAGGATTGCGAGAGGACCCATTATTGTTTCCCCCCTTTTTCCTTCTGTGTGTTGCCAAAGTTGGGAAGAAGAGCGATGACAATCGGGATTACTCATCAGCTTCTGGAAAAGGACCGTCCAACTTGTGCTTATATTCCGCAGAGAGGAGAGTCAACTGCGGCATCTTTTTTCTTGGATTTGGAAATTTAAAGCGAATCAATTTTTTGTTTTTATCTGACTTGAGATTAAATACACAGATGACGGTTGAGACGTCATTTCTGTTCTGGGGACAAATTATATATTTTCTGAAATCTGAATTGGTTGTGTGCTCTCTTAGAACTTAAACGAAAATGACACTATTTTATTCAATCATTGACAATCTGGTAGCCCATTTTAAAGAAATCTCTCTACTCGTATAGCTCATAACCAAACTTTTTGCTACTTTTTGTGGAGGCCCTGTAAGTAGCCAGCAGGGTTGTTCTCGAATCCGGCCCTCCATTTGATCCGTCGCCTAAAACTAGCCTGTGATTTCAGAGTTAGAAGCTACGAACTGCTTCAAGATGGATGCCAGCTTAGGTTACTGCATTTATGTGAGACAAGTTATATAGTCCATCTCAGGCTAATGCAGAATAAGAATTCAAAGGTCGCCATTGTTGAGTGTTATTCCTCGGCTTAATTGCAAGTTTGGTCACTCGAATTGCTACAAAATTTCACCTTTGCCACCCAAATTAATTTATTCCATTTATAGTCACTTAAATTAGTTAAACATACCAACTTCGGTCACTCTCCGTTAACCTCCGTTAGACTCCGTTAATGACGACAGTTAAGTGCTGACGTGGCTAACAGAAAATCACAATCAGCATAATTTAACACTACAAAACGACGACCCGACCCGCCATGTCAGACCTACTCGCCCAACCCGCGAACCAACCTAATAATTGACCCAACCCCAAACCCATACATGACGTGGTGGGTAAATATGACGTGGTGGGTTGAGTCGTCGTTTTTTAGTGTTAAAATATGCTGACTGTGATTTTCTATTAGCCACGTTAGCACTTAATGGTCGTCATTAACGGAGTCTAACGGAGGTTAACGGACAGTGACTGAACTTGGACTGTTCAACTAATTTAAGTGACTATAAATAGATTATTTGAGTGGCAAACATGCAATTCGAGTGACCAAACTTGCAATTAAGCCGCTATTCCTCTCTGGGAATTGAGAGTTTGCTTGGATTTCTCAGAGCACCCGTTGGAAATTGACGCAATTAACAGGGGTCTTCGACTGATTCATTTACTTGTAAGTAGGTGGCGATGTCGCGCCTTGTCGCGGGCGGAGTGGCCTATGGGCATGTATTGTGTGGCCTATTATGGTGTTTTGTTCTTATTATTATCATAAAATTAATTTTTTTTAGTAGTTTTGTTAGTAATATTGACTTCATAATATGATATTGACTGAGAAAAATATATGGCGGTCAACATCTAATTTAAATTTTTTTGAACATTTGGCTAATAAATGATATTTACATAAACCCAAGTAGACCCACTGATTATAGTTAGGATATGTATGACGTATATATGGGTATGGAAGTTTGTAGATGGGTATGGATACTGCAGTTGACTCTCCTCTCTGCGGAATATAAGCACAGGTTGGAAAACAGAGAAGGAAAAAGGGGGACATTTACTTTCATAATCTAAACGTGTATAAGTTGGGTATGGATACCCATTTATTCGAGTGTGTACTTAAAAGTTGGTCATTCCATTCATTGGGGAGCGAATCCGGTCAATAACCTTGTGGTCAATAGCTATGATCTCTGCATAACTCATTCACCATCCGCCACTTCCGCGCTCCTTCTCTCTTCTGAAAAGCCTTTAATTCGTGGGATAGATTAGACATGGGTTTGGCCGCGGCGGCCGTTTTCATCTTCTGAATCTCTCTGGCGTTTCCGAATAAGAATTTGTACGGTGGGCCTCTGATCCCTCGCGCATTGAACTCTCGTTCACGCAGGATTGGCTTCCTTAGCGTCTTTGTTCAGGAATGCGAGCAAACCCAGAACAAGGATTGGGCAGCTGAAGCAGACAAGGATTGCGAGCAGACCCATTATTGTTCCCCCCCCCCCCCTTTTTCCTTCTCTCTTTGCCAAAGTTGGGAAGAAGAGCGATGACAATCACGATTACTCGTCAGCTTCTGGAAAAAGGACCGTCCAACCTGTGCTTATATTCCGCAGAGAGGAGAGTCAACTGCAGTATCTTTTTTCTTGGATTTGAAAATTTAAAGCGAATCAATTTTTTGTTTTTATCTGACTTGAGATTAAATACACAGATGATGGTTGAGACGTCATTTCTGTTCTGGGGACAAATTATACATTTTCTGAAATCTGAACTGTTTTATTCAATCATTGACAATCTGCTGGTAGCCCAGTTTAAAGAACTCTTTCTACTCATGTAGCTTAGCCAGACTTCCAGACTTTTTTGTGGACGCCCTGGAAGTAGCCAGCAGGGTTCCTCTCGAGTTCGGCCCTCGGGATCTGGTTAGCAGCAAATTGTTAGTTAGAATTATTAAGGCACAAGATTTTTAACTGTTGCTTACGAAAAAAGCGGGTTAGCTTTTAAATTCGGGTTACTGTTCATAAACACTCTTTTCTTTTAATTGTCTGCGGACTTGTGTAGCTAAACCACATGTGAGCTGTATGGCGGTTGTCCAAGCATCTCAAATGCAGCCCTCTACTTTTTGAACCCATGCCTTTTTCCTTCAATACCATTACCATTCCTAATCCATTAGTCATGGACCAAAACACTAACACGATCAAGATTGAGATGGGAGGAATGATGAAAACAATTAGTCATAGACGAAACAATAACACGATCAATTAGTCATGGGAGGAATGATGAAAACAATTAGTCATGAACGAAACAATAACACGATCAAGATTGAGATTAACGGGGAGGAATGATGAGATCAATTATTAGAATTGTATGGAATAGGTTTCAATACAAAGCTCTTCCTATTTGCAGTACTAAAAAACATGATCTAATAGTTGTAATTTTTGAAAAAAGAGATCTAATAATCCAAATCATATTTTTTGGCACTCACCGGATTTTTTGGAGTAGTGTGTGGATTTTTAGGTGGGCTGTCAAAGTACTTTTCAAAATTTCTCGGAAAATTCAATGGACCATTGTTCATTCATTTTAAATTGGATTTTTTTCCCCCACACAAATATAAGATTTTATGTGTTTTACAATATGATATCCATTTTGATAAAATTTTGTAACTTAATATTTTCAGGTCGTAATACCATTGTCATATCATGATATTATCACTGACTGTGGTCTGATATCATAGTGGTATGATGTTGATATGATATTGGTATGATGTTGATATTATAGTGATGTGATGTTAATATGAGATCTTATGTCAGACAAAATAATTTGATGACCTGATTTTTTACTATACCAGACACTACAAAATATTTATGTAACATTATTCTATAACAATTACGTAACTTCATACATTAGGTAAATCTTAGAGAGTAATAATTATTTCTTATATATCAGTTATACAAAAAGTACAATATAAGTTTAATGACTAAGACAATATACAAACGTTATGGAGATAATAATTTCTTATGTATCAATTAAAAAAGCATATCACATAAGTCTTCATGATATTAGTTTGTATGAAAATTCCTAAATTAGTAACCAAATTTCTTACAATCTCATCAATTGCTTTACACAAAGGTTTTTTAAGGTCAAATGTGATACCTTTTATAACATAATTCACCTATTATTAACTTAAATTCTTTATTATTGCCTACTACATTCAACATCTCATCAATTTGCATTACACGAATTAAAGCTTATGTATGATAAGTTAATATTATATAGTAGTTTAATCAAATGTCAGATATGTAACTTGGTTTTCTTATTAGACCACACATTATGAAAGATTATGTAACACCATTCTATAACACCATTTTATTATTAGACCACATTATGAAAGATTATGTAACACCATTCTATAACAATTCTTTAAATTCACTATATATGTAAAACTTATGAATGTTGAAGGGATAATTATTACTTATGTATCAATCAAACACATATTTTACAGTGGATGAAATTTATACAAAAATAAATAATTAGCTTATAACCGCCGCGAAGCGCAGGCCAAAAAGCTAGTATACACTAAAAGAAAATAACTACAATAAAAGAGAGTGGAGAGGGAAAGATGTTCTTCTTATTCATCAACCCACTGAGTTCCTAGTCTTTTCTCCATTTTGCCATGCGCCATTAACAAACTCTCCACCACTTTCACTGTCTTCCGAGCAATATCCAAAGCAGCGTGTCGAGAGCTGTTGAAGATGCACTCGTTGCATTCAAACCAAATGAGCCAATTGACAGCATGAAGGGCATAGAAAGCAAACCATTTATCATAGTTGTTAGGCGCTGCGGCGGACCAGTCCTGGATGACTGTCAAAATGTCCCCATCAGGTCTTGTTATATCTCTGCAGACCCTTCGAATTGCTTCCCAAACTTCATGGGCAAAAAACTATCCAGTGAATAAGTGATTTATAGTCTCCTCATCAATCTGGCAAAGTTCACATCTGTTTGCAAGCACCCATCCTTTCGATTTCATAACATCAAGTGTGGGAATCCTCTTATGGGAGACCATCCACATGAAGAAAGACACTTTCGTTGGAGCAATGTTCCTTCAGGCCGAGGTTGAGGGATAGTATGAACGCCTGAGAATTTCCTCTTAGTTAAGTACCTGTACATAGAGGAGACAGAAAAGGAGGAGTCTGACATTGGAGACCAGATCAGTCTACAAGGGCTGTAAGCATTCTGGTGCAAATCAATTGAACATAGAAAATTAAGAAGACCAACTCTCTCGCTCTCCGCTCCCCCTCTCAACTCATGATTTAAATTTAAGAACCACCTTACTTCCTCACCAGAAACAACGGCAATGTCGAGGATCTGAGCTTCCGGATCTAAGGGAGCAGCTGCCACACGAGGATATGCAGAGGTGAGAGTGAGGCCCGGGTTCCATGTGTCATGCCAAAATGGGATATGAGCTCCCCCAACAGGATCCAAGTACGCAAGCTTCCAGAAATC